CACGAATTGCAAATGTTGCAGTGGGTTGACTCTACAGCACACCGCTGTGCTGCACGAGTGACGAATTGGCACGTTCTGTTCACGTGACCAAACTTGATAATTGGCTGCGTCGGGGTGGTGGCGGGTTTACCGACACATTTATATATTTACGCGATCTAACCCAAAAGCTTACATAACGATACACGTGTGTTGAACTTCCTTCGCCACCGTACGTAGCCAACCGTGCTAATCTAAGTTGCGGGGAGGCGGAAGGACAACACAAACTAAACACGAAGAATATTGAGCTTTGATGCCGCGGTGCGCATATAACGTACACAGCCACGAGACAGTGGTGGGAATTCGACCTTCCTACGGCAGGGGCGAATCACCCCCCCCCCCCCCTCTCTCTGCGTGTCTCCATAGAAGACAGCTTCCCCACAACGAACCGCTCATTATTTATCGACCCCAGAGAAAGGGATGAGGATGATGATGGGCCGAGTCAACCCGCTCACCCCCCCCCCCCCCGCCCAAAGCAGGATTTGAACTAGCAACGAGCATCTCGCGGCCTGTGCGGGTTCGCCAAACTGGCTGGGGTCACCAACCCCAGCCCATGCGGGGGGTGGGGGGTGGGGAGACCGGCGACCGGTTTAGAACTTAGGTGCTCAGCGGTGTCCGGCTCCCGGGAGATGTTGCAGCCAACGAGACTTTTTAAAACGCTGTGTCGTCAGCTCCCTCTAACAACGTCCCCACAATGTTGCGAAAATACCTCCCCCCCTCCCCCCCCCCCATTTCCTTCCACTCCTTCTTTTCCTTTATTTAGTCATCGCTACTCACTATCACTCATTCTCACTCGCTCACTCTCGCTCACCACCCTGCCTCCCTCCCTCCCTCCGCCCCTCTTAGCCGCCCTCCACTCCTCCACCACCACCACGTCCGCCTGTCGCGGGGAATCAAACCGGGACCCTGCAGCTGCCCGGGCAGCAGCCGCCTCGCCGCGCTGCGTCGGAAATCCGCGTGGCGCCCCCTTAATTCCCCCCCCCCCCCGGGGATTTGTGTGGGGGGGGGGTGTTGGGGCTGGAAGTGGCGGTTGAGGGGGGGGGAAGCGACAATTTTTTTGTATCACGGATACTGAACACAAGGCCCAAGGGGCCCCAAAACGCCAAACGGCCGGCAACAAACGGCACCGATTTACAGTCGTTATGGAGACAGATTGGTGGCCGCGTTGGCTTAGAAGCGGTTGGGGTGGGCTCATAATGGCAGTGTCAGAGACTAAACGGAACTATACACTATTCTTTTTTATTATACCATGTAAGGCCAACAGAGCTATATCGCTCTTTTTTCGGCAGAGACCTGGCCACAAATGATAGCTCAACGAAAGTGGCTTATCACGTAGAAATGTATAGCAGCCAAATTATCTAAACGCACGTTCATTCTCAACGTGGATGGGAAAAACCGGAGGGCCCGGAGGAAAAATTCACGCGACCACAAAGAGAGAGACACCGCAAACTCCAAATATACAGCAGGCGTCAGGGTCGGGATCGAACCCATGACCTCCTGTATATCAAGCGAGCGAGTTAACACGTAGCCACCGGATCACTCCGAACCGACACTCCTGAGCGCCTGAGTTCCAATCCGAGTTTGGGCCACTCAGCCGTGATTACAGGGGCTTTGCAAGTGCAGTGAGTTTATGGCCTCAGCCCGATCGCCAGTGACTTCCACAGAGACTCATGCATAGACTCACACGGATATCAGTAGAACTCACACAGCGCTGTTATTTAATAAAACCGGATTCCCAGTTGTAGTAAAAGTTTTCAGGATTTTTTGGTGTTTCTTTTTTACCAGGTGAAATATCACGAGACCAGGATGAGTTTGATGTGCTAACCCGCCCCTATTAGACATCTGTGAGAAAGAACGAAATTAAAAGCTGAGACCATAAAGAAGTTGATGGTCTCAGCTCATTCGCCGGTGATTAGCCGAGAGCCCACGGACTCACACGCAGAGGCCCCACTCACTCACATAGAGACGCAGTGACTCACATAGAGACCCACGGACTCACATAGAGACCCACGGACTCACACAGAGAGGCCCCACTCACTCACGTAGAGACGCAGTGACTCACATAGAGACCCACGGACTCACATAGAGACCCACGGACTCACACACAGAGGCCCCACTCACGTAGAGACGCAGTGACTCCCATAGAGAACCACGGACTCACATATAGACTCACGGACTCACGCAGAGGCCCCACTCACTTACGTAGAGACGCAGTGACTCACATAGAGACCCACGGACTCACATAGAGACCCACGGACTCACACGCAGAGGCCCCACTCACTCACGTAGAGACGCAGTGACTCACATAGAGATCCACGGACTCACATAGAGACCCACGGACTCACACACAAAGGCCCCACTCACTCACGTAGAGACGCAGTGACTCCCATAGAGACCCACGGACTCACATAGAGACCCACGGACTCACGCAAGAGGCCCCACTCACTTACGTAGAGACGCAGTGACTCACATAGAGACCCACGGACTCATATAGAGACCCACGGACTCGCACAGAGAGGCCCCACTCACTCACGTAGAGACGCAGTGACTCACATAGAGACCCACGAACTCACAGAGAGGCCCCACTCACTCACTGGTTTTCAAGCGAAGGTGCGTTTAGGGGATCTTATGCCTGAGTCCGGTCACCAATGACGGCACATTAAAAGTAAATCCAACACTTTAAAAAGCGCCGTGCCAGCTACATAGGTGCTCGCGGTACCAGAACTTTCCCCCACCACCAACAGCACGTATGTTTACCCGGGGCATCTTTGCATTTGCCTTTGGTGGCATAATCTCTACCCTCGTTTGCATGTGAAGGGGAGCAGAGTGAGTCACGGGGGAGCCCAGCCAGGATGAGAGGTGGGGAGGGTGGGGGGGGCGCAGATGTTCATCCGACCCCGCCCTCCTCTCCCTCCAGTCTACCACCACCTCCCATGCTCCCTCAATCTCCCCCCTCCCCCGCATCTGCCATCAACTCACAATCCCCCGCACCCCAACCCCGTCTTCCCCCATTATCTATCTTTCAGTCTCCCCCATCCTCTAGAAGTTTCCCTGCAAACACCTCGATTCTTCCTTCTCCTTCCCTCCGTCCTACACCCCCCCCCGCTTCCCCGATTGCCAATCCTCGGCCATCCTTCCCCCGCTAGGGAGCGTTCGGCTTCGCGTCTCAAGCGCGCGAGGGGGGGGGCGTGAGATCTTCTTCTCTTCTTTTCGTACGGCTGATGCGGATGGCAGAGAGCAACGGCCACGATTTCACATTCAGGCGGGCCTAAGGCGGTCAACCGCGCTGGCAACGAACCGAGTTCATCGCCGCGATGTTCTCCCTCGTGTCGGTGGATCGCCAGCGGCTGTCGCGTCGTTGCACGTGGCGCGGTGTCTTCTGGGTGACCGCGGTCGCGCACCGCACCGGGAAGAGTTTTTTTTTGTTAATTTGCCATTTGCGCATCGGGTATCCGCATCTCGCCACGGTTTGTGCAGCGGATGCGATTTAGTGCGGTGGACCGTGAGCTTTTTCGCAAGATGAAAACCCAGGGGATCTTCCCTCTTTGGCGAGGGGATAACACCGTCGGCACTGCCATCTCCTGGGCGCACCTCTATTCCCCTCGCATAACGACAACATCCTGGCAAGCGCGCGTTGATGACGGTGGTCCAATCATCCAAGTCGAGGGTCGCTTGAGAAAAAAAAACGTGAACACTTTCTGAGAATTTGCAGAAATACCACGAGAAATGTGCTGCTGCTCCCGGGCTTTTGGAGACCACCTGGAGAAAATTCCCGGCAATGTGCTGACAATGATGGCGAACAAGTGGAGACTTGACATTTTTTAAACTATGAACATTTACATTTGTTATCATGTTTACAGGGCATCATCCGTTCTTTTTTCCGTTAAAAACGATGGTCCCAAGTGAGTGTTAACAATTTGTTGAAGCACCCTGCAACGGTACTAGCCAGGCTCCCAGGCTAATCGGGGCGCATTCACGCTGCGTTTGGCCGTGCGCTCGCGATGGATGTTTGCGTAAATTTGGGGAAAATTTGTGTGACGAATATAAAATGAGAAACGATTATATGACTCAGGCCTCGAGGATATCACAATGGGGCGCAGTGCCCTGTCCTCAAGGAAGTTGGGCAATCACGGAATGTAACTCGATTGCACAATCCCCTTGCACACTATACCGACAAAGGTCGCCCCGTGTAGCCTTTAACAGACTGTTGGAGCAAGTGCCCTCAGCAAAGCACCTACGAAGTCCGGCACGGCACGCGAGGTGGCCAGTACCACGCCCGGCCGCCTGTGTGGTCTCTCCAGTGCTGATGTGGTTTTTTTGGTTGTTGTTGTTGTTACCGAGCGCCTATGAAGGGCGGCCGTGCACGACACACGAGGGGGGGGGGGGGTTCGCGCGCAGCACCACGAGCTTCTCGCACAACACAGCCAGCGCCACTCCCTAAGAGCAAACGCGACCTCTCGTCGCCACGAACCACGGTTCGGGTCCGGGTTAACGGCCGCGAGACGAGTGAGCGCCGGGCGCCGCAAAGAGGACGATTTTAAGAGACCGCGTGGCGAATTTGTGTTTATAGTGGAGGAGTTCGATGAGCTGTGAAGGCGATTTTTTTTGTTTTGTTTTGTTGCACGGATGTCCAGCAGCAAGTCACAATGGCACCACCTCCTCCATCACCACCACCTTCTCCTCCATCACCACCACCACCTCCTCCATCACCACCACCTTCTCCTCCATCACCACCACCTCCTCCATCACCACCACCTCCATCACCACCACTCCTCCATCACCTCCACCACCTCCATCACCACCACCACCTCCTCCATCACCACCACCTCCTCCATCACCACCACCTCCTCCATCACCACCACTCCTCCATCACCACCACCTCCTCCATCACCACCTCCTCCGTCACCACCACCTCCTCCGTCACCACCTCCTCAATCACCATTACTCCTCCATCACCACCACCTCCTCCATCACCACCACCTCCTCCATCACCACCTCCTCCATCACCACCACCTCCATCACCGCCACCTCCTCCATCACCACCAACACCTCCTCCATCACCGCCACCTCCATCACCGCCACTTCCTCCATCACCGCCACCTCCTCCATCACCACCACCACCTCCTCCATCACTACCACCTCCTCCATCAGCACCACCTCCTCCATCACCACCACCTCCATCACCGCCACCTCCTCCATCACCACCAACACCTCCTCCATCACCACCACCTCCATCACCGCCACCTCCTCCATCACCACCAACACCTCCTCCATCACCACCACCTCCTCCATCACCCCCACCACCTCCTCCATCACCACCACCTCCTATATCACCGCCATCACCGCCACCTCCTCCATCACCACCACCTCCTCCATCACTACCACCTCCTCCATCACCACAACCTCCTCCATCACCACCACCTCCTCCATCACCGCCACCTCCTCCATCACAGCCACCTCCTCCATCACCACCACCACCTCCTCCATCACCACCACCACCTCCTCCATCACCACCATCTCTTCCATCACCACCACTCCTCCATCACGACAACCTCCTCAATCACCACCACCTCCTCCATCACCACCACCTCCTCCATCACCGCCACCTCCTCCATCATCACCACCACCTCCTCCATCACCGCCACCACTACCTCCTCCATCACCGCCACCTCCTCCATCACCACCACCACCGCCATCACCGCCATTACCGCCACCTCCTCCATCACCACCACCTCCTCCATCACCACCACCTCCTCCATCACCACCACCTCCATCACTGCCACCTCCTCCATCACCACCAACACCTCCTCCATCACCACCACCTCCTCCATCACCCCAACCACCTCCTCCATCACCACCACCTCCTTCATCACCACTACCTGCTCCATCACCACCACCTCCTCCATCACCACCACCTCCTCCATCACCATCATCTCCTCCATCACCACCACCATCTCCTCCATCACCACCACCACCACCTCCTCCATCACCACCACCTCCTCCATCACCACCACCTCCATCACCGCCACCTCCTCCATCACCACCACCTCCTCCATCACCACCACTCCTCCATCACCACCACCTCCTCCATCACCACCACTCCTCCATCACCACCACCTCCTCCATCACCACCTCCTCCATCACCACCTCCTCCATCACCACCACCTCCTCCATCACCACCACCACCTCCTCCTCCATCACTGCCACCTCCTCCATCACCGCCACCTCCTCCATCACCACCACCTCCTCCATCACCACCACCTCCTCCTCCATCACCATCATCTCCTCCATCACCACCACCTCTTCCATCACCACCACTCCTCCATCACCACAACATCCTCCATCACCACCACCTCCTCCATCACCACCTCCTCCATCACCGCCACCTCCTCCATCACCGCCACCTCCTCCATCACCACCACCATCTCCTCCATCACCACCACCATCTCCTCCATCACCACCATCTCTTCTATCACCACTACTCCTCCATCACCACCACCTCCTCCATCACCGCCACCTCCTCCATCATCACCGCCACCTCCTCCATCATCACCACCACCTCCTCCATCACCGCCACCACCACCTCCTCCATCACTGCCACCTCCTCCATCACCACCACCACCACCACCACCGCCATCACCGCCATCACCGCCACCTCCTCCATTACCACCACCTCCTCCATCACCACCACCTCCTCCATCACCACCACCTCCTCCATCACCACAACCTCCTCCATCACCACCACCTCCTCCATCACCACCTCCTCCATCACCACCTCCTCCATCACCGCCACCTCCTCCATCACCACCATCTCCTCCATCACCACCACCATCTCCTCCATCACCACCATCTCTTCCATCACCACCACTCCTCCATCAGCACAACCTCCTCCATCACCACCACCTCCTCCATCACCACCACCTCCTCCATCACCGCCACCTCCTCCATCATCACCACCACCTCCTCCATCACCGCCACCACCACCTCCTCCATCACCGCCACCTCCTTCATCACCACCATCACCGCCATCACCGCCATCACCGCCACCTCCTCCATCACCACCACCTCCTCCATCACCACCACCTCCTCCATCACCACCACCCCCACCACCACCATCTTGTTGTCCTTGCCCCCTCACCTCCGATTAGCAACGGTTGTCTATGTACGGTGCGAAAGAAGTTCAACGTACAACACTATCTCGGAAAGCTAAGCAATATTGAGACTGGCGAGTACCCGGATGCGCGACCACATTCATCGCAGGTGTTATCGGCTGCGGGAAATAAACGTCTGATTGTGATGAGTGTGAGCAGGGAAGCGTGTCCTTTGCACCGTGTGTCTATGCTGCTAAAATTCACCCACATTTGTTGTTTTGTAACTGCAAGCGATGATGGCCAGTGGCCGAGACGAACAACCGAGTGCCGCGTGACGTAGCACAAGCGCCCGAGAGGAGATGGAGCGTTGAAATCAGCTCGTGTGCAGGATCCTGCATTGCTGGATCGCTGCATCTCAAGACCGGGGAGAATTTGGCGACGATCCGTGGGAGGCCTTCCTCCAGCAGTGGATATAGCATTTGCTGCCGATGATAATGATATTTAAAAAGAGACTCGATTGTTTTTTTTGTTTAATTCAGCTTGAATCGCGACAATTAATAGAATCGATGATTGAGTGGCGGGGAGGGTGACGACCCATTTCTCGTTCTTTATCACTCTCGGCTGTGCGTTGGCGCATTCGATCGGGTTTTTTTTTTTTCCGTCGACCTAGGACGCATTTCCAAGTGGATGCTCGCCTCTCACGATCTGTCAAGTTCTCCTGCACTGTGTTCCATACAAGGCCTGACTGCTGAAGAGGTACGGAACGTCAAAACTGTTCCGGAGAGTGCTTGCGTTGTTCAAGAGAGAGGGGAGACCAGGATAACAGTTTCATTTCTTGGAGAAGAGATCCCGGGGAATTAGTTTGTTGTAGAATACCAATTTAGGACAGTATTTTTGTGGTATACAAGCTACCCTTCGTATAGCACAATTCGACTCTGGCTGTCGCCTGATGAGGCTGTTTGTAATTACCGACGATACATCGGACTCGAGTTATACATGCTGTGGGTTTACTCTCCAGCACACCGGTGTGCTAAACTAGTAACGAATTAGCATGTTTCCTTTACGTGACACACATTTCTAGTTGGCTGTGTCGGGTGGTGGTGGGTTTAGCGACGCATTTATATTTACGCGATCTAACCCAAACAAAAAAACCTCTAAGGCCTACGGTCCGCGTACTGCATGTATTTCATGACTTCATTAGGTGAGCTGTCACAGGTGAGATTGACACACATACAACCTACCCCCTGATCCAATGGAACATTCCAATAGTGAATTAAGTGCCCCCCACGCCCCCTGCCTAAATGGAATGAAACATTCCACTCAGTCACCTCGCGTCGCAAGGTGAAGGCTTTAGGAACGGAATAAGGCATTCCTACGGAGCAGACTCGACCCCGCCATAGAAACACGGAGTGTCACACACGCCTAAGATTATATGCACGCGCAGAGAACTGCAGAAGCACGCAAATACACACGGATCGCTCGCGATAAGCGTGGCAATTTGTGTGGTTACAGGCACTGTTAGCGAGCGCCTATTAGGTCTGGCAGGGTGCACGAAAGGGGTGAGTGGTTTCGACTACACGACGCCAAAGTATCAAATGCTACGGGCCCCACACCTTCAAGAACCCCGCGCTAAATGTCTTCAAGCTATCAATTCCGGTTCAGTGATTTTGCACTTGCACTATTAATACAGTACTATACCGCCTGCAACTTTTATGAACGACTGGGTGTTTAAGGTTAGCGATTTGTCGTATTATTGGCTGTATAGCAAATGAAAAAATACAATTACTTTACTATGCAAGTTAAAAATACGTGTTTTTATTATTATTTTAGGACCCCTTCATAACATATGCTACAGGCCCCGCACTAGCTTAATCCGGCACTGCACGACGCCCGGAAACCTTTGGCTCACCAGTTTTGATATTAAAACACCGGCTCCAGGTACTCAAATAACGCCGAGTAGACCTAGGGGAGGCCCAGGACCGGTTAGGATATTATTCGCCACTAAATCTGGTTCGTAGCACAATGCACTAACCACTGCGCCACCGCTCACACATCCACGCAAACAAAACAAAGATCCCCCTTTGAGTCTAGACACAAAAAAGACAGAGATCCCCCGTATAGCCTTAACAGACTGTAGGGGCAAGTGCTGTTAGCGATCACCTATAAAGGCCGGAACGGTACACGAGGGGGTGCGTGGGCTAGCACCACGCCCGACCGCCTTTGTCTCCCCAGTGGCGATGTTTACACACCGCACCGGGTACTCATTTGAGGCTAAGTCGACCTAGCGGAGGCCCAGGACCGGTTCAGATAATCGTCACTGGTGTCTGCCGTGAGCATGGATCGAACTCGGGTCGCGGGGTTCGTAGGGCAGCGCGCTAACCGCGACACTACCGCTCCCCGTACACACAAAGATCCCCCATATAGCCTACACAGACTGTAGGGGCAAGTGCTGTTAGCGAGCACCTATGAAGGCCGGAACGGTACACGAGGGGGTGGGTGGCCAGCACCACGCCCGACCGCCTTTGTCTCCCTAGTGGCGATATTTACACACCGCACCAGGTACTCATTTGAGGCTGAGTCGACCTAGGGGAGGCCCGGGACCGGTTCAGATAATCGTCACTGGTGTTGGCCGTGAGCGCGAATCGAACCCGGGTCGCCAGGTTCATAGCGCAGCGCGCTAACCGCTACACTATCGCTCCCCACACACACACGTACACACACACACGTACAAACACGAATACACACACACTACACTACACACTACCACCACAGCCGCCACCGCAGCCCTTGTGCCAAGCTAGGTGCACTTTGAGGCCGACATTCACACGTCCACGCATCGGCAAGAGCGAACCCACCACGTTCTTGTGCACACAAATTCAGTCCCGGGCTTCAGCCTGCTGGGTCTGGGTGCGCGCGCACCGCGCTACGAATCCGGACACCCGACGATTCTGATTCCCGCTCGCGACCAATATGACAGCGGCGAATACGTCCACCGCTGATGGTCATCTGAACCGGGTCCTGGGCCTCCCCTAGGGTCGACTCAGCCTCAAACGAGTAACCTGGTGCGTTGTGCAAAACAACAGCATCGGGAGGAAGACAAAGACGGTCACGCGTGGTGTTTTGCCCGCCTGCTCGCTTCGTGTGCCGTGCCGGCTTTCACAGGGTGCTCGCTAACAGCACGTGTCCCAACAGTCTGTTAAAGCCTATCTATCTGTATATGTCTCTATATATACGAAGGGGTGGGGGGGGGGTCTGTACGATTGTACTCTTTGGTTCTATTGGGTAAAGTCACGTAGGTGAAAATAAAATAACAAAAAATCACGACGTTTCGGCCACAACACAAGCGGCCTTCATCAGGTGAAGGGACGAGACTGTCTGGAGGACAGCGCTGTCCTGTCCTCCAGCGCTGTCCTGTCCTCCAGACAGTCTCGTCCCTTCACCTGATGAAGGCCGCTTGTGTTGTGGCCGAAACGTCGTGATTTTTTGTTATTTTATTTTCACCTACGTGACTTTACCCAATAGAACCAAAGAGTATGGATCCTAGCAGTCACGAAAGCTTTAAATCTAGAACTGTACGATTGTCTTTGTGTGTGTGTGTCTGCGGGTACTTGGGAATACCTGCACGCGCCGTGCCCTGTGATGTCACAAGCTCACTCGCTCATTGCCTCGCTCGCTATTTGAGTTGAGTCACCTCGGCCACGAGTAAGAGTCTCCTTTAGGTATAGCCTCGAGACGAAACAACGCCACTGAGACAGATCAAACAACATCGCCGCTTTTATGAGAGCGCGCGCCCTGTTGCAAATCTTTGTCTCATCGACCGCCTAATCGTTTTTGTGTGTGTGTGCCTGTCTGTCTGTCTGTGTGCCTGTCTGTCTGTCTGTGTGTCTGTGTTTGTGTGCCTGTCTGTGTGTCTGTGTGCCTGTCTGTCTGTCTGTGTGCCTGTCTGTGTGTCTGTCTGTCTGTGTGTCTGTGTTTGTGTGCCTGTCTGTGTGTCTGTCTGTGTGTGTGTGTCTGTCTGTCTGCTTGTCTGTGTTTGTGTGCCTGTCTGTGTGCATGTCTGTGTGTCTGTCTGTCTGTCTGTGTGCCTGTCTGTCTGTCTGTGTGCCTGTCTGTGTGTCTGTCTGTCTGTCTGTGTGTCTGTGTTTGTGTGTCTGTCTGTCTGTCTGCTTGTCTGTGTTTGTGTGCCTGTCTGTAGTGCCTGTCTGTGTGTCTGTCTGTGTGTCTGTGTGCCTGTCTGTTTGTCTGTGTGTCTGCCTGTCTGCTTCTCTGTGTTTGTGTGCCTGTCTGTGTGTCTGTGTGCCTGTCTGTCTGTCTGTATGCCTGTTTGTGTGTCTGTCTGTCTGCTTGCCTGTGTTTGTGTGCCTGTCTGTGTGTCTGTGTGCCTGTCTGTGTGTCTGTCTGTGTGCCTGCCTGTGTGTCTGTGTGCCTGTCTGTGTTTCTGTCTGTCTGCTTGTCTGTGTTTGTGTGCCTGTCTGTGTGTCTGTGTGCCTGTCTGTCTGTCTGTGTGCCTGTCTGTGTGTCTGTCTGTCTGTCTGCTTGTCTGTTTCTTGGTCCGTCTGTCTGTCTTCAGGCTGTTGGGTCTGTTTGAGTGTCTGCCTGTCCGTCTGTCTGTCTGTCTGCTTGTCAGTCTATATATTGGTCTGTCTGCCTGCTTGTCTGTCGGTCTGTCTGCTTGTCAGTCTATATATTGGTCTGTCTGTCTGCTTGTCTGTCTATATATTGGTCTGTCTGCCTGCTTGTCTGTGGGTCTGTCTATCTCTTGGTCTGTCTGCAGGCTGTCGGGTCTGTTTCAGTGTTCGCAGTCTGCCTGTCCGTCTGTCCGCTTGGCTGTCGGTCGGTCTGCAGTACTCACGTCCGTCTCTCTGTCCACTTGTCTCTCTGCTTACTTTGGTATGTGCATCTCCGCATGCATGTCTACCTGTCTTTGTATATTTGTGTGGTTACTTTGGGAGGTCATGTGGGAG